CAGGCAATCCGCCTGCCTCAGCTTCTCAGAGTGCCAGGATTACAGGTGTGAGCCACTGTGCCCGGCATGTTTTTTTTTTTGGCCGGGGCCAGGTTTGAACCCTCCACCTCCAGTATATGGGGCCGGCACCCTACTACTTTGAGCCACAGGTACCGCCCTTTTTTTGTTTTCTTTTCTTTTTTGACAGAGCCTTACTCTAGCACCCTGGACTAGAGTGCCCTCATATTAGCCTAACTCATGGCAACCTCAGACTCCTGTGTTCAAGCAGTCCTGCCTTAGCTTGCCAACTAGCTGGGCCTACAAACATCCACCATAATACCTGGCTAATTTTTCTATTTTTAATAGAGACAGCATCTCACTCTTGCTTGGGCTGGTCTAGAACTCCTGGACTCAAGCAATCCTGAGGCTTCACTTTCCCAAAGTGCTACGATTACAGGTGAGAGCTGTTGTGCCCACCTAATTACTGCTATTTTAGCAACAAAAAAAAAAAGAAGTGTTTTTTTTTTGTTGTTTGTTTGTTTGTTTTTTTTTTTTTTTTACAGTTTTGGCTGGAGCAGGGTTGGAACCCGCCACCTCCAGCATATGGGGCCAACACCTTACTCCTTTGAGCCATAGGCGCTGCCCTAGAGAAGTATATTTTTAAGATTAATATTATGGGGTATGTCTTTTTGGATTTTTGCTTTTTTAGAGATGGAGTTTTGCTCTGTCACCCAGGCTAGAGTCTAATGGCATCATCAAAGCTCATATCAACCTCAAATGCCCAGGCTCAAGCATTTTTCTTGTTTCAGGCTCCCAAGAAGCTAGAACTACAGTTGTATGCCACCATGCCTAGCTAGTTTTTCTTTTTTTTTTTTTTTTGGAAATGAGGTCTTGCCCAGTCTAGTCTCAGACTCTTGGCTTCAAGCAATCTTACTGCCTTGACGTCCCAAAGGTGTGCACTGCCAAGGCAATATTTTGAGAATTAATCGTAGAACCTAGACATGCTACAAATTGAATTTTCTCTAGAATACATTCTTGTTATTTTCTTTTTCTTTTTTTAGACAGAGCCTAAAGCTATCCCTCTGGGTAGAGTGCTGTGGCATCACAACTCACAGCAACCTCCAACTCCTGGGCTCAAGTGAGTCTCCTGCCTCAGCCTCCTAAGTAGCTGAGACCACAGGCGCCTGCCACAATGCATGGCTATTTTTGGGTTGCAGTCATCATTGTTGTTTTGGCGGACCTGGGCTGGATTTGAACCCACCATCTTAGGTGTATGTGGCTGGCACCTTAGCCACTTGAGCCACAGGCACTGAGCCACTATTCTTGTTATTTTCAATTTATCTGTGTTCTTTCTGTTGGTCAGATGACTGTTTTACAAAGTATTCTTACTAGATCTCAGTTCTTAGGCACATTTTCAGATTACATGTATATTTTCCTTTGTTTGAATAGTTGAATTTGAAATTTATTAATAAGAAAACTTTTCAGTAATGGTAGCAGCAGGACTGGGCATGGTGGCTCACACCTATACTCTGGGAGGCCGAGGCAGGTGGATTGCCTGAGCATGAGCGAGACCCCTGTCTCTAAAAATAGCTAGGCATTGTAGTAGGTGCCTGTAGTCCCAGCTACTTGGGATGCTGAGGCAAGAGAATCACTTAAGCCCAAGAATCTGAGGTTGCTGTAAGCTATGATGCCATGCCACTCAAACGGGGGTGAAGAAATGAGACTCTGTCTCAAAAAAAAAAAAAGTAAGTAATGATAGCAGTACAATATAAGTCTGTTAACCATCTTTCCCACAATCTGAGGATAATTTTGTCTGGGTATCTCAGTGTTGTATAATAGACTTTAAAGACACTATGGCTTTTCATGTAAAACTGATTTTTAAAAAATAAGAAATGAAATGTTTATTGGAAGCTTTTTAGGCTCGGTGCCTGTACTCAGTGGCTAGAGCACCAGCAACATACACTGGAGTTGGCAGGTTTGAATCCAGCCTGGCCTGCCAAACAACAATGACAACTACAACCAAAAAACAGTCAGGGCTCTGGGCCTGTAGCTCAGTGGGTAGGGCACCAGCCACATAACACTGTAGCTGGCAGATTCAAATCCAGCCCGGGCCTGCCAAACAGCAGTGACAACTACAACCAAAAAATAGCTGGGCATTGTGGCAGGCGCCTGTAGTCCCAGCTATTTGGGAGGTTGAGGCAGGAGAATTGCTTAAGCCCAAGAGTATGAGGTTGCTATGAGCTGTGATGTCAGGGCGATAGCTTGAGACTCTTATCTCCAAAAAAAAAAAAAAGAAAGCTTTTTAGTGTAATTTTGAATTTTATTCAAGACATTCTCTATCTTTGCAGAGTTCATTGCCAAATTTTAAACAAAACGAGTTTTCTGTTGTTCGACAACATGAGGAATTCATCTGGCTTCACGATTCCTTTGTTGAAAATGAAGACTATGCAGGCTATATTGTAAGTATCAAATTTCCATTTCAATCCCAATTACTAGGAGAGTTTTAGATACTCAGTTACATGTTGAATCTTGTTCAGGAGTTTTAGTGAACTGATGTGATTTTTTAAAAAATTTTTGGTTTTAAAACATGTTTGGCTGCCACCTTTTATCCTAAGTTGTTTTGTTTCATGGTGTGGGGACATGTTATACTCCCTCATTTAAACTTAAATTTTTCCTGTTTAGAGTTGAAATGGGCTTGTCTTAAGGAGTAAGCAGTGATTCTCAAGCTGTGGGTCATGACCTATAGGAACTACATTAAAGGGCCGTGGCATTAGGAAGGTTGAGAACCACTAGATTAAGGGAACATTACAAATCATACTAGTTTTCTTTTTTGTTTTTAAATCATACTAGTTTTGAACCCTTAGGTTGACCAATACTTAAAGTTGGAATGTCTCATAAGAGGTTATCTAAATATGCACCAGCTATTGCAGTCAAGAATAGATGGTCATCCTGTGTTATTGTTGGCCACATTCAAATTTCTGAAATTTAAGGGCTTTTTTAATCTAGAAAAAATTTCCAGATAAAGTTCAGTTTCTTGAGTGGTGCCTCTGGCTCAGTGGGTAGGGCACTGGCCCCATATACTGAGGGTGGCAGGTTTGAACCTGGCCCTGGCCAGCTAAAACAGCAATGAGAATTGCAACAAAAAAAAGCTGGGCGTTGTGGTGGGCGCCTTTAGTCCTAGCTACTCGGGAGGCTGAGGCAAGAGAATTGCTTAAGCCCAAGAGTTGGAGGTTACTGTGAGCTGTGACACCATAGCACTCTACCAAGAGTGACAAAGTGAGACTCTGTCTTAAAAAAAAAAAAAAAAAAATTCGGTTTCTTTGAGCAGTTGCCTATGGCTCAGTGAATAGGGCGCTGACCCCATATACCAAGGGTTGTGGGTTCGAACTCGGCCCCAGCCAAACTGTAACAAAAATAGCCGGGCATTGTGGCAGCTGCATTTAGTCCCAGCTGCTTGGGAGGCAAGACAGTTGCCTAAGCCCAAGAGCTGGAGGTTGCTGCGAGTTGTGACACTATGGCACTCTACCGAGGCTGACAAAGTGACACTCTGGCTCTTAAAAAAAAAAAAAAAAAAATTCAGTTTCTTTGATTTCCTTGAAATTGTCATGGCCTAATTCTATCTCCATCCTGTGACTACCACTCCTTTTCAGTCAATTGCTTCTTTTTCTTTCTATAGCTCAGAATGACTGGTAGTGCATTCTTTTTTTCTTATGTTGTCTTCATTTCCTTCTGTACCTTCTTGTCTGATGGTACTTTCTTTTTTTTTGGTTTTGAGACAGTCTCAAGCTGTCGCCCTGGGTAGAGTGCTGTGGTGTCACCATCGCTCACAGCAACCTCCAGTTCTTGGGCTCAAGTGATCTTCTTGCCTCCGTTTCTTTTCTTTTTGTAGTAGAGACAGGAGGTCTTGCTTTTTAGTCAGGGTGGTCTTAAACTCATAAGCTCAAGCAATCCATCCGCCTTGGCCTCCCAGAGAGCTAGGATTATAGGCATGAGCCACCTCACCTGGCTTGATTGATGGTACTTTCTATTTATTACTTTCTCCTTCCACAGGCTAAACAATCCTTGAAGACTAAGACCATGTCTTAATTATCAGTGATTGTATGCTGAACTGTACTTTATGCTGTCTGACCCTATTGCTTTCTGTGATGTAACCTTTTTCTTACATTCATTCTTTTTTTTTTTTCTTTTTTTTTTTTTGAGACAGAGCCTCAAGCTGTCCCCCTGGACGGAGTGCCGTGGC